ATGTTCGAAGAAGACCTCTTGAGTATGAGGTTGGTGACCATGTGTTTATTCGTGTGAATCCGATGAAAGGCCAAGTTAGGTTTGGAAGGAAGGGTAAGTTATCACCCCGTTACATTGGGCCATTTCAAATTCTGGAAAGGCTTGGCCCAGTTGCCTATAGAATTGCTTTGCCACTGGGATTCGAGCAAATCCATAATGTGTTTCATGTGTCGATGTTAAGGGGTTATCTCCGAGACCCATTTCATGTGATTGATTATCACCGGGTAGCTCTTGACGAAAATATGGAGTACACCGAATGGCCGAAACGAATCATCGACCGGCAAGTGAAACAATTGAGAAGCAAGTCCATCCCAATGGTGAAAGTGGAATGGAAAGAGCACTATGGGACGGATGCCACATGGGAAAAATAGGAGGAAATGGGACTACGCTATCCACATTTGTTTCCCGACGATGGTAAAATAAGTTTGGAGGACCACACTTCCTAAATGGGAGAAGACTGTGACAACCATGTTCCGTGTTATGCTAATTGGTCCTTATTATGAATGTGATTATGTGTTTGATATGATTTTGTGTGCCATTTATGTGAAAATATGTGGTTTTGAATTTCTATCTGTTCACCGTAAGAATATCTGTTTGATTATTTGCTTTGGAATTTAAATTGAAGGCCCTATCGGCCGTAGAAACCGAAATTGATTACGCCATTGTGATTAGCGTAATTTTTAGAGCCTACGGTGAAATTTACTTGAAAATTGATTCGGATCAAAATAATTAGATTCAGAACGATCAATTAAGTGCCATTAGTTAGCTACAATCCAATTTGATTTAGTGGGACTATAAAAGGACCTTTATACACTCAATTCCTCTCTTTTATTTCATTTTGGCTGATTTTGGCTCTCTGGAAAATGAGAGAACCGAATTAGAGAGGGAGAGTGTAGGAGACTGAAGGTTTGATCAAGAAGCTTGAGAATTTGAAGACCAACTCAAGAATTAAGCATAAGTTTGGAGGATTAAAGCTCCTAGGTGAGTAATCAACCCTTAACTCATGAGTTTGAGTTGTGATTTTGTGAATTGAAGATTAAATGGTGAGTTAGATCATGAGTTGCGTTGATTAAGTTGAAATTGAAGTTGATATGTTCATGCATGCATAGAATTGCTATGAATTGCCATAAATTTGCATAATCTAACATGTAACATGCCAAATATGCATGATTGGGAGTTTGGATCATACATGCAAGCATGATTTGGATGAATTTCATGTGTATAAGCATCACTTGACCCATTTTAAATGGAATTGGAGTTAAAAGATTGCATGCATGTTTGATTATTGAAGATGTGGAGCTCATATGGGGTTTGAAAGCATGAGCCATGATTATAAAAAAATGTTGATTGATTTTGAAGAATTGAACCATGATTTTGAGTAATTAGCCTCATATTGTTTGTGTACTCATGATATATAATGTATTTGCATGTTTGGGAACCAAAATTATGAGTTTTGAACCTTAGAAGGTTGATTTTGAGCTTGAAGAACAATTCTGGATTTTCCAGAATTTGGGATGTCCGCTCGAGCAGGGAAGGCGCTGCTCGAGTGGGAAATAGGAGCTCCCAGGACTTTTTGCAGACGTGATGTCCGCTCGAGCGAGGAAGTTCATGCTTGAGCAGGGAGCCATGTAGTGAGGCTTTCAGCTCGAGCACCCGACTTCACGCTCGAGCGCCCGACTTCATGCTCGAGCGTAAAAATGATGTAACTAGTACTTTTGCAGACCTCATGGGTTCGCTTGAGCGGGGAAGTCCACGCTCGAGCGGGGAATCCTGTTTCTGAAATTTTGAAAATGTGTTATGTATTTCATTTTCTATTTGCTTTCACTTCTAAGTACTCTTAGGCATGCATCGAGCATTGTAAATAAGTTAAGAGGATAAGAATGAAGCCTAAAGAGGAATATGTAAATTAAGAATGAATTGAATTGTTTGTGACCCATTGTGTTCATGGAATGTGTAGGGTCGAGCTCCAAGGCAAATCATCCAGCGATCACTGTGAGTAATATCTTAATAAAGATATCTGAAATATGCTATTTGTCCAATTGCTCATCTTCCTATAAGTCTGTTAAATTGAATTGCAGACAAATATTTGCTATGCCGAAAGAATGAAAGTATAAATGGGCCAAAGGCCAGTTTGACATGAATGAAAGTATGAATGGTCCAAAGGCCAGTTTGACATGAATGAAAGTGTGAATGGGCCAAAGGCCAGTTTGACACGAATGAAAGTATGAATGGGCCAAATGCCAGTTTGACACGAATGAAAGTATGAATGGGCCGAAGGCCCATTTGACATGAATGGGCCAAAGGCCCGTTTGATATGAATGAAAATATGAATGGGCCAAAGGCCAGTTTGACATGAATGGATTGGGCCCGAGGCCGTCTGATGTGTTTGGAACTGCAGTCACCTGCCCTATGTATACCTATATATATATTAGATAGAATATGAATTGGGCCCAAGACCGTTTGTCGTATATTGTTCTAATGTATCTTCTTTATTCGATATTATTCACTGGGCTTTCGCTCACGCTCATTCATGTGTCTATAGGTGAGCCAAGGGAGGTCCAAACCCAGCCTCAGTGAAGTTTGTGAGAAATAACCAAGGTTTTGAAGAGTCAGCTATATGTCTCATGCACGAGACTTGTTCTCGCCCTTTTGCTAATTTATTATATTTTGTCATATTGGCGAGAACTTCGAATTACAGTTGTATATAGTTTTGATTGGCTAACTTAGACTTGAATGATCCTGTATGTACAGAACCTCGTGTTATTACATATTTTGATGTGAGTTATTAACACGCATATGTTTGGATTGTTATGATGTGCCATGTAAGCACAGCTTTATGGACAAAGTTTTAAATTTTGTTTCCGTTTGGCCCCTTTACTCTGATGAGTTATGTCTGGTTTGGTTTGAGGCTGTAGGTAATCTCAGGATTACTGGCCGTTTATGTCCTTAACCCATGGGGGCGGTTTCGGGTCATGACACAAAATGTTCGTCCTTTTGGTCAACTCCCAAGGGCAATTGATATGTCCGTAGCTGACCGCGAATTGGCTCATTGGTTTGTCCTACACAATAATTTGGAAGTGGACGAATATCTAGAGTATGATTCTTCATCACATATGCAACATACCTTTTCTACATGGTTTTTATTTTTTAAAGTCTTCATTATTCCAATTACTTATGACTTACATTGTATTAACTAGGGAACACAAGCTCGTGTTGCAACAAAAATATGGAAGTTCATGCAACATTGCAACGCGACAATGCAAAGAATTTCCTAAATAGTTCAAAGATCACGTAAGCTACAACTCGTTACTGTATAGTTTGCAGATAACGTTTAATTATTCTAAGTTTGAATTGACATGACATACTTTCTTGTGTAGATGAACCAATTGTGAAATCAAAAGTCACCCGAAGCAACCGACGAGATGTGGTCATTAGCCAATGGACCTAATGCCTTAGTGAACACATATTTGGGATGCATTTGTGATGGCATCCGATTCCATACTATGGACCGTGATAACCGTAGTAAATGTCAAAATAGTGGGTTGGTAGTGGAAGACGACCACCAAGGCCAGTTGATAAATTTCTACGGTTACCTTTGTAAAGTGTGGGAACTGACATATTTGTTTGGACATCGGGTTGCTTTGTTCCAATGTGAATGGTATAACACTGGTAGTAGTCGAACTTTGCGTGTCGAACCACATGTGACAACTGTTGACGTAAGAAGTCGATGATATAAAGATTACTCGTTTGTGTTCCCAAGCCAAGTTCAACAAGTTTTCTATGTTCATGATACAAAGTCAGGGCCGAATTGGCGAGTCGTAGAAAAGTTTCAACATCGACGAATTTGGGATGTGCCAGAGCTGGATGTGCCAGAATTTGATGAAGTGTTGCAAGATGATGAACCCAGCACTGTTGTACTAACTGAGCCTATTGATGATGAAGTTGTTTTGCGTCGGGATGACATTGAACCTGCAATCATTTCAATGGAAGCTTCTCAGTCCAATAAGCGTGTACAACCCGAGGGTGTGATGGATGATGCTTTCATCTATGACGACGATGATGAACCAAGTGACTCGGGTGATGACGAAGAAGATGAGATAGAAAATGATTTTGATACAGATACGGACCTAGAGCTTTAACTCAGTTTGTTTCTTTGTCCGGCTTGTTTTGTTGATGTAATGGGGGCAATTAGGAAATGTGAGTAGACTAATTATGTCACGATTCTTCTTCTTCTTCTTCGGACCCTAATTTCCCAACTACATTCATATTCTATGAACTTAATACCCTTGTAATTAATTTCCTCTACGATTTCTATGAACTTTGGCAGAAAATTGAAAATCAAATTCATAATCTGTTCAGATTTTCCATTCGGTCAGTTGTGCTGTTTGGTTGATTTTTCCATAATTTGTGGCAGATTTGCACATCTGCTCTGTCTCTGTTTGCTAACTTGGACAGTTCGCTGCTATTTTTGTCCACTTTGGCTGCTTGATGCTTGACTGCTATGCTTAGGTGTTAGCTAACGGTAGGATGGTTGGTTGGCTGAGTTGGGATGTTGTCTTGGTTGCTTAAATGTATTCACGCTGCTTTGTTAAGGCTTTGTTTTGTTATTTTGTGTGCTGCTTTTTGGTTGTTAATCAGTTTGGTTGTTATCCATGTTGTGTTGGTTGTTAATCTGACACACGATTTAGTTATTTGAAAATATATATACTTGCATCAACTAGTCCTCTTATGCATATAATCTCTTTAAAATGTCATCCTTCCCTGTTGGAGTCCTTGGTGTTTGAGTGCATATGTGTATACATTGATCTTTGTAAGTAATTTGAGGCATTTTCTTCTAGTTAAACTTGATGTCCTCTTATTTGACATTATTGTATAATTTATAGCTGTGCATACTGTTTGGTCTGAAAGTAGTCATTTGTACGTTATGGTTTTTTCATCTCATAGACTTGTTTCTAGACTTGATGGGACTTAAGGCTTGGTTTGATTTGGTTTGTTTTATAGACTTGTTTTAATAATGGTTCAAAAACAAAAGAAAAAAGAAAAAAAAGAAAAGAAAAGAGACTTGTTTCTATAAGGTTGAGGCTAACTTTAGGAGTTCAATGTGCAGGTGACTGTTCCATCTTTGGCCTCAGTCTACAACGAGTATGCTTTGAAGAGCGAATATGACAGAAGCATTTATCTTCAGGTGATTCAAATTGAGTATGGTTAGCTTGTATTTTGTGTCAATGAAATATTGGATATTTTTTTGTTTACATTACTGAAGGACACTTAAAGGGAAATCACCAAATTTTTTATTTATCATGTCAGCAATTATAGTTCACACCTCTTTCTTTTATTCTTCTTTTAGAAGGCTCTAGGTGCACCAAGGCGATGAGGTCTCCTATAGCCTAAGCACGAGGCACGAGGCAAGGCGCGCGCCTCACCAAAGTGAGGTGCAAGTAGTAGAAGAAAAGAAAAATTATAAAATAGGCAAACTTTTCAACATAATAAATATATATATAGAATTCCAAAAATCATAAAGCAAGTTTCACAAGCTAATAGAGAAGAAAAAACAGAAAGATGACCCAGCAAAGAAGCAGGAGAAGAAAAAAAGATGAGAATAAAATAAGAAAAGAAGAAGAGAAGAAAAATTAAGGAAGAAAAAACGAAGGCAGACCCACGAAGAGAACCCATCGAAGAAGAGAAGAAGAAAACAAGAAAAGAAAATAAGAAAATTAAAGGAAGAAAAAATAGAGGCTGAGAGATAACCCAACCAAGAGAACCGATCGAAGAAGAAGAGAAAAACTTGAAGAAGAAGCCAAAGTCGTGTCGTCTTCTCACTTTCTGATTGCTTTTTTTAATCTCCTGCACCTAGTTTTTTTTTTAATCAGTTTTTGCTCTCTTTTGACCACTTTTGGTCATTTTATATTGAAGAGTTTTGATTCCCTATGGGTATGCCCACAAAAAAAAGCACTTAATCAACAGTTGGAGTAGAAAAATAGGTAAAGCCCATGAAGCCCGCGCCTCACGCCTCGAAAAAGCCCTCGCCTTAGCGCCTTGGCTTGGCCTGTTTGAAGCGCAAGGCTGTGTCTTGTTGTGCGCCTAAGCGCGCCTTTTAAAACACTGTACACCAAGATGTTGGGTACATAAAATATCCTCAAATCGATAGTATTAACTGGTTTTTGAAGTTGAAGTCTATCTATCATTCATTTTTGTGCATGTATTCAAGTGACTTATGGATCCCATTAAAGTATACTTGTGTCATTGATTAGAACTATAACTTCCTGCTTAGCATTTTTTTACTCTTGTAAATTAGAAATGCTGATAGTTTCTTTAAGCTTGACAGTTCAATAGTTTTCTTTATTTTTTGTTTGGGTTGCATTTGTGTGTTTTTGGGTTGCATATATGAAGTGTTCTATTTTGTGTTAACAGAATTGTGGATATCTTAACAAAGAGCAATGTATCCGTCTGTTTGAAGAGCTCAATAAATACAGGTATTGATCATATGTTGCTATGTTATAAGTCTAGTATCTCTTTCCTTCTAATTTTTATTTTTGGTATTTTCTAATTTCTTGCCATGGGATTCTGTTGCTAACTGGATATATGAATTAGAGGCTTAGTGCAAGTGTTGCCACCCAAACTTGCCAATCCACCCAGGACTTAATTGGTTGGGGTAACATGATCTAAATCATACTGGAGCTGTCCATTAACAGGTTGGTTCAGCATAGTGCTTGTTGACGCATCAGGTTGATCTTGTAGTGTGTTGTCTTCTTGTCTATGAGAACCTAAGAAGCATAGACACAAATATGTGACACGACAATTTGCAAATTGTAGAAAAATGTGGAGGATTGTGGAGGACACATGCAAAATATATGGTTTTGCATATTTATTATGTCATATATATGAATTTTCATTCAAAATTAATAAAATTATACATCACACAAGTTGCTAAAGTTTGAAAGAGGATGGATTACGATTTATAAATATTCATTGCTTTTCTTTTATCATTAGATCCTAAGTTATTTTATTCAAACTTGTAATACGTTTCATGTGTCTAAGCTATGGACACGTGGTGTTTCTCCACCTTAAGTTTTGGATACGATCATCAATGAATATCAGAGGATCCTCGATTAATTGATGTAGACTAGAGTGCCAAGCTAGAAATTCCTGACTTTAATGCGGATCACGACTCGCAGATATTCTTTGATTGGCTACATTGTTTGGAGAGTTGCTTTTGTTGGTACCAAATGGCCAATGAAAGGAAATTACTTTTAGTTGAAGCAAAATTAAAAGGCACAACTAGAATTTGGGGGGCTAAATGTCATTAGAAGCATCATGCAACATGGGAAGATATGAAAATCATAGTGAATCCTTACTTCATTCCATCTAGCTACAAGCAATGAGCCCACTTGCAGTTTACTCAGTTGATGCAAGGAAGCAAGTGAATAATACAGAGGGTTCTACAATTTAGCTACCAAGTCCCTACAATTTAGCTACCAAGTCCAAGTTCCCATAGAATTAGGATGTAGTGATCTCTATGTATCTATCACCAGGGATTAAAGTCGTAAGTCTCTTGTGGATTGGCTGCTAGAAGACTTTACCATGAGGAAGACTCCCATACGCACTCCAGTGGACACCCTGGCAAGGAGTGAAAAGACTCTTGTGGATCCCAGTGGTGGCAAACTCCTTGACAGGTCTCCCCATTCTATTCATGCTCCTTCTCATTCTTCGTATGAAGTTAATATTAATTCCAAATGTTTTATTGTCAAGGGTTTGGACATCATGCTCGGGATGGCCCTTCTAATAAAATTAATGTGCCTAGTAAGTCAATTGTAGTTGAACATGATGGCACCGTAGATACAAAAGAATCCAAGGATTGACGTGTAAGTAGTTGATCCCGGATTCAATGGCAATCTCCTTGATGATGTGATTGGCCATTATTCATCATTTCTTTGGTGCTAATAGACAAGGTATAAAGGAACTCGAGAAGCTCCAAAGAAATTAAAAAAAATTCATATGAGAGTAAACTGTGTTGATCAAGTGTGCTCACTAATGTTGTTTCCGCAGAAGCTGTAAAGAAACTGGTTTGAAAGTTGGGCCACATCCCGAGCCTTATCATGCGGCCTGGAAAAATAATACCATGCTTAGGGTCGATAAAAGTTGTGCCTCATGACATGCAATTGGCTAGCTAATAGAGACAGTATTGTGTGAGGTTCTATCTCACAAACTGTGTCATACTCTTGGGATGCACATGGATTTGGGACCGTGATGTCATCCATGCTGGACATGCCAACACTTATTCATTGATGGCTTAACAAAGTACACCCGATTCCAGAGCCGTTAAATTGGAAAAAAAAATATTTGTTGATTCGGCGTGTTCCTTCTTCAAATGGGATTTTTAAAAAGTGTTCTTAACTCTCCAAAGTTGACTTCGTTTCAGTGGAGGAGAATTGGTAGTGCAACTCTTGACTGGTTTAGAGGGCAATTATTTACTTTGGAAGCATTGAGTAAACCCAAGGGTTCATTACATGTGAAGAAGACTTTTTGGTCAAATAAATGTGCTTGATAGATGATTACTATTATTAATCTAAATAAATATTTATTTATGATATTTTGATATTTCTTTCCTAATACAATTACATTTCCTATTAATATTAGGATTTTAGTTTCCTATTTTAATTAGGGTATTAACCTATAAATAAGAGTGCATTGTATTATTATTATTATTATTTCTGAGAAGCAACCAAAGAAATTTTATTAATAAGGAAAAAAGCAATAACAAAGGGAAGACAAGATGTCCTCAAACAGAGATGAAACCAAACTAACAGAACAGAAAAAAAACATCCCTAAGACTAAGACTGACAAACTGCTCCCCATTCAAAAGAAAACAAAAAGAGTGGAATCCCTATGAATGGGGAAGACAAATAAGCCCAAAACGAAGCTAAATTAAATGACACGCCTTCTCCCACAATGAAACTTCATCCGTTCTCTTATCCTAAAAAATGTGAGCATTCCACTCGAACCAAATAGTCCAGAAGATGGCGAAAACAGTGCAGGACCACGGTGACTTGGCTCTTCTATTTACACCAAAGCCACCAAAATTAATTAACAGCATATGCGAGCATTCTTTCGGGGCTGCTCACTGTAAATTGCAAAGCCTAAAAAGACGCTGCCATAGAGAAATAGCCACGGGGCAGTGAAGAAATAAATGGTTTGCCGACTCTGCATTTCTTATACGTTATACACCATTGTGGACAACAAAAGTGATTAGGTCTTCTCCTTTGGAATAGATCATTGGTCATATTTCTTCCTTGAGCCAAGGACCACATGAAGAACTTCACCTTATGAGGAACAAAGGCCTTCCAAATTTTCTTATGAAATGGAAATGAAGGAACGTAGGACACATCAATGAGCTTATCAAACAAAGATTTGCATGAGAAGACCCCCGAAGAGTTGAGAGTGCATTGTATTATTCAAAGTTAGATAAATGAAATTTTGAGTTGATTAAGGTTGTGGTCTCTGTGTTTCCTCCCGCTTCTTTTTTTCCCCCTCTACATCGCACATCAGGTTGACTCCTTACCTGGTTAATGTTCTTGTTCAAATACATCTTTCATAGCTGTACAACAAGTATTACTACTTTGTGACTTGATCTGTTTGATATTGAGGTGTAACTTTCATTATAATATATGCAGAACATTGCCCAGAATATCACGAGAAGATTTTGAGTTAATTTTCGATGAGCTGGATGACAGTCATGACTTCAAGGTATCTTTTTCCTTATGTAAGCTTTGGTTGCAATGAATTTTTGGTCATTTATTTTTTGTTCTAAATCCTTTTGATTTTAAAATATAAAAGAATTGTTGACATACGACTTTTCTTTTGTCTTCCTTTGGTTCTCCTTTTGTTTGGGGTTACTTGGGTTGGGTGTTATTGGAGAAGGCGAAGGAGCTTCTCTTTTCTTTTGAGTGATGGCTAGGTGGCTTGGGTCCTGGCTCCATTCTCTATTTTGTGGTTACTTTTGGGAGAACGGAATAGAAGATCATTTGATGGTATTGAGATGCCTCATTTTTAAAATTAAAAGCCTTTTGTTGTCTTTCTTGTATAGTTGATTTTTGCAGGTGGTTAGCTCATCTTTGAACTTATATCTGGATTTTGTAGAGACCTTTGAAGAGGTTTTTGGTGTATAGTTGATATAGTTTTCTTTTGTATATGGGTTGTGCACTACTTGGTGCCTGTTAGAATAATTTTTTGCTTATAAAAGAAAAGTTTAATACTTATATAGCACTTGTGTTTGGTGTTATTTATAGCATTTGTGTGCGTAGATATTTAATAGAATGCGTTATGGTATCTTATTAATACACCAAAGGGACAATCTTCTTATTGACTTCATCTTTCCTTTATTTTTCATGCCACTTTTAGGGACACTCTCTACTATATGCCTTTTATGGTGCACGTTGAAAGCATTCCACTAGTTAGTCCTAAGATGGCTGAATTGTGTTTCTAAACCTCCATGATCATATTTGTATCCTTTTTCCTTCTTTTTCTCATCCTTCATTTCTACTTCTCAAATTGATCCTCCTAATTACTATTAGAATAATATATTATTAGTTAGGTTATTATTTTGTTGTAATTATTATGTCTTAGGGCTTTTTTGTAATTATTAATCTTCATTAATATAAAAAGGGGATGATATCACAATCATACCATAACCTTTTTCTCTCTAAAGTTACATGGTGTCAGAGCCAAAACCCTAGCTAGCAGTCCCTTTCGCACTTGTTAGCAGTCTTTTCTCTCCCACAGTCTAATCGGCCCCTCACCCAGCCACCTATAGTCGACCTAAAGCTCTGAACTCCTTGCCTAGGTCTTGGATCTCCTCCTGGGCTCCCCAACAGCCTGTTAGGCTTGGACGACAGTCTCTTGGCCCTTCTAGGGGCCTGTCGGTAGCCCCTCTGGCCTCCTTGGCCCCTGTCAAGAGGCTTTCCTTAGCCTTTTGCCTCTGTCGGTCAGCCTCTGTTAGCCCAGTGTAATAACCGACTACACCACCCACACTCTCTACCGTTTGTAATGTTTGTTCCTTAAACACACTCTACCGTCTGTAATGTTTGGTTAAACAACTTTGACCTAAATCTTAAAAAAAAAAAAAAAAAAAAAACCTGGAGTCTTAATTTTTTATGTTTTTCTTGTTACTATTGTGCTTGTATTCCTCCACCTTCCGGATTTGTGATTTGCACTAGTTTTGTTAAGGGTTTGCTAGTACAGTATCTATGGCAAATTCCACCAGTGTGTCCACTACTTCTTAGACACCTCGAAGTGAGAGTTCCATTATACCTACTATTATGACTTATAATCCCAACACTAGTCTTAAAATCACCACCTCTTTATGTAATGGTTAGAACTATCTAGTATGGTCGCAGAGTTTGACTATATTTTTGAAGAGTAAAGGGAAGATGGGGTATGTTGATGGCAGGATACAGGCACCCAGCACCACTGGCCAAGGTTATGACCAATAGGAGGTTATCAACTCTTTGATCATGAGTTAGCTTATTCATTCGCTGATTCCAAAAATTAGTGAGTTACTTGTCTATGGAGACTGCCTAGGATATTTGGGATGTTGTGGCTGCCACCTATTGTCGCAAAGGGAATTTCTCACAGGCATTTAAGTTGCACCATTCTATTGAGAGTTCTGTTCAGGGGGAGCAGATTGTTCTCCAGTAATTCACCTTCCTCACCAACAGCTGGAAACGCTTTGATCACTTACAGGACTATAAGCTTGTTTGTATTGCTGATTCCATCGGGTACAGGAAGTTCATTGCACAGGAATGGGTCTTCAAGTTTTTGGCAGGTCTCAATGTAGAGTATAATTCGGTTCGGAGTCGAGTTCTAAGTATGGATACTCTTCCTTCACTTTAGGAGGCATTTGCCTATGTATAGAATGAGGAGAGTCACTAGTCCGCTATGATGTCACCTGTCTCTACTGACTGCTTAGCATTACTGTTTGCCCCTAGAGATGGCCTCAGTCTGATTCCCATCTCTCCGTTTGCTGCCCGCTCAGCATTACTGTCTGCCCCTAGAGATGGCCTCAGTCTGACTCCCATCTCTCCGTTTGCTGCCAAGGAGTCTGTATTCTGCGATTATTGTCTCAAGTCGGGGCATACTCGTGAGACGTGTTGGAAGCTTCATGGGACTCCATCCGGGGATGGAGGTGATCGGTCTGGTTCTAGAGGAGGTCAGTCGGCCAGTCTAGAGGACGTGGCTCTCATCCACGGGCTCATCAATCTAGTGTCGTTGATAAACTTGATTCTACTTCTGTTTCCGTTGGCCAGGCTTCTGATGGTCTTTCTGGCATGACTACTCATGAGCTTGAGGATGTTCTGCATCACTTGTTGGACCGTCGGTATTCTATTGCTCTCAGTACATCTTCCTTGTCATTTGCCCGATCAAATAACTTAGCCTATTCTCCTCGTGTTTTCCTTTCTCATAAGTCTTTGTCCTGGATTATTGATTTTGGTGTCTCAGATCATATATGTGGGTTCTCTGATCTTTTCTCTGCCTATAAGCCCTCTTCAGGTCAGGACAAAGTTAGGATTGCAGATGGTATTGTTTCTTCTATTTCTAAGAAAAGTTTAGTCAATGTCACTCCTACCATCCCTCTATCTTCTGTTCTCCATGTTCCCAATTTTTCTGTTAACCTGATATCCTTGAGTTGTCTTACAAAGGATTTGAATTGTAGTGTGACTTTTTTTCTTGATCATCGTCTTTTTCAGGATCTTGTCACAAGGAGGACGATTGGCAGTGGTAGTACAGAAAATAGTCTCTACTTCCTAGATCAACTTGACAAGCTTGCTCATTCTTCCTCCACGAGTTCAAATATCAAAGAGGATTTATGGCTGTGGCATTGGCGTCTTGGGCATCTTTCTTTCTATTACTTAAGCATTTATTTCCATCTGTTTTTGCAGACAATAATGTGTCTGAGTTTCTTTGTGAGTCTTGTCAACTTGGAAAACAACACAGAGCTTCTTTTGCTCCCAGTTTTAATAAAAGTTTAGTTCCTTTTTCATTACTACATTTTGATGTCTGGGGTTCATCTCGTGTTATGTCTGTGAAAGGTCATCGATGGTTTGTTACATTTATTGATGATTTTTCTCGTACTACTTGGGTGTATCTCATGAAAGACAAGAGTGAGGTTTTCTCTGTGTTCCACAATTTTCATAAGATGATTTGTACTCAGTTTGGGGCCTCTATCAAAATCTTTTGTTCTGATAATGGGGGAGAATAAATAGATTCTGGGTTAGGGCAATATTTTTCTGCCCATGGCATTATCCATCAGAGCTCTTGCACCAATACCCATCAACAAAATGCGGTAGCGGAACGCAAGAATCGTCATCTTTTTGACATGGCTCGGTGCATGTGTTTTTCTATGAGTGTGCCTCGGTCCTACTAGGCCGACGTTCTCACTGCTGCCCATCTTGTTAATCGTCTTCCTATTCAGGTCTTGTAAAAACAGGCTCCCCTTTAAGTCCTCCTAGGTTCCGAGTTCTTGTTTTCTATTCTTCCTAAAATATTTGGCTATGTTTGTTTTGTTCACAATCACTCTCTTACTCGTGGTAAGTTGGACCCTCTCTCTCTCAAATGTGTTTTCCTTGGGCAGTCTCCTACTCAAAAAGGATGAAAGTGTTCACCTTCTTTCTCGTAAGTGGTTTGTATCCATAGATGTCACATGTTTTGAGTCCCAGTCTTATTTCTTGTCCTCTCCGGTGTCGCAGTCCTCCCTTCAGAGGGAACCTTGGTGTGAAGTGATTCTTGTGATTCCTATGGTGGAACCAGTTCTTGCACCACCACTTCTTACTGGAACTACAGAACCCAATGTAACCAAGGATAGGGAAGGGCAAGTTTATGTCAGGGACAAAGACAGACAAACAGTTAACTAGTTACAAGAGACCACTTCTGCTCCCCTACTGCCATCTTCTGCTTTTGATGAGAGTCCAGGTAACTTTGAATCTCTTGGATCCACTGATCTTGATACTTCTATTGATCTTAATGTTTTTATTGCCAAGAGAAAAGGTGTGAGATCGTGTACTCAACATCCTATTTCAAATTTTGTGTTCTTGTAAAAAATAAATTGATGTAAGGGCAAGTTTATGTCAGGGACAAAGACAGACAAACAGTTAACTAGTTACAAGAGACCACTTCTGCTCCCCTACTGCCATCTTCTGCTTTTGATGAGAGTCCAGGTAACTTTGAATCTCTTGGATCCACTGATCTTGATACTTCTATTGATCTTAATGTTCTTATTGCCAAGAGAAAAGGTGTGAGATCGTGTACTCAACATCCTATTTCAAATTTTGTGTTCTACTCTCATTTGTCGTCCTCATATAGAGCTTTTGTGTCAAATATTTCCTATGTTAGCATTTCTAATCATTTTTAGGATGCTCTTGCTATCTTTGAGTGGAAACTTGCCATGATTGAGGAAATGAAAGCATTAGGAAGAATGACACTTGAGAATTGACTGAGTTACCTAAGGGCAAACGACCTGTGGAATGCAAATGGGTATATACTGTGAAACACAAAGCATATAGGTCTATTGAGCTTTACAAGGCTAGACTTGTGGCAAAAGGGTTCACTCAGACATATAGCGTTGACTATTTGGAGACCTTTGAACCCGTGGCTTAGATGAATTCAGTTGAAGTATTTCTCTCTCTAGCAGCTAATCTAGATTGGCCACTTCATCAATTTGATGTAAAGAATGCCTTTCTCTATGGTGACCT